ATCCTCGTAACTAACCGATTCGGGGGCGAAAGTATCGAGGGACGACAATAGTCTCGCGACCCGATTCACAGCCCGTTGCCTTTCAATCCTTGCCTAGTTTATGCGCCCCTCGACGCATCCCCCTCACCTCACGCCACCATCGCGTAAATAAGAAACTCTGCCGAGCAAATCTCTCCCTTTCGACGCCGCGAGTATTTTATTTTTCCTCGAAACGGATCGGCGTAATGCACGGATAAGGGAATAGGTAAGGATATGATATCTCGAGGAAACGTGAACAGGGTGAATTCCGTCTAATGGAATTCAGTTTCTCTGCTCGGAAGACGAATCAACGGCGAGGGGAGGTGGAGGTGGATTTGTCGAGGCTTACGCGGAGATAATTGGATTCTTTCTTTCTTTCTTTCTTTCTTTCTTTCCTTCTTTCTTTTGTCGACGATCGATAAGTCGTTGATCGTTGCGTTTAGAAATTGTGCAAGGTGTTGGAGAGAACAAATAATAATGAAATATAAAGGGGAATAAAAAAAGTTGATATTTTTTTATACGAGGTCAAAAATTTCAATTGTACGTAATTAATGGAAGGGTAAAATTTCTGTTGTTTGTTTGATATATTGGTAATTGATAATTCAATTTTTCTCTTTTATTCTATATATTTTATTTGAATTAAGAAAAAAGAACATCATCCAATTCTTCTCCTCGAATAATACTTCTCTTGAATAATAAAAAAAAGAGAAAAAAAGGGAAGGAAAGAGGAAGAGATATACCCATTTGCATCCCTCCCCCTCCGTGGTTATCACCAAACCACTCGTTTCATCGCGACAATGGCCGAATCGCTTTGGAGAATGTGTTCCATTGGCCTAACATCAATTCTTAGAACCTCGCCACTCTCTCTCTCTCTCTTTCTCCCTTTCTTTTGTCTTCGTCCACCGTTTCCCCCGAGACCGTGAAGACGATTGGATTTTCCGCGGTTCTCGATGACGAGGAGTCGTCGACATCCCCCTTCTCCCACTCGTTCCTTCCAGAACGAAGGAGGCAAGCATCGAAGTGAGAATCGAGAGAAGAAAGATTACGCGGCTCGGATTAAATTTTCTATGGGTTCGATCTTCCTTTTTACCCTCTCCGCAATACTACCCCTTCCACCAAATTGTCTCCTCAGGAATCGCTCTTCGATTCGCGATGATAAATTATTATTGTCGATTTTTAAAACGATTCTCGACATTCTTGAATTATTGAACGCTGTTTTAAAACGGTGTAATTTATTATGCGTACGAAAGCGTTGATCTGTAATTTATTTTAATTCTAATAATTTGAGAGAAGGAGGTATTTTTTGTTTAGTAAAATCTCTTCGTAAAATAAATTTGTATGATTTTTTTCAGATGTTTTAAATTGAGATCAGAGTGAAAAGTTTAAGGAATAATTTAATAATTTGTTCAAATTTCTTGAGATATAATTATAATTTTTAGAAAGAGAATTTTCCTTTCTCTTTCAGATATTATTATTATTATTACGTTGATTGATACAGAAGAAATTCGTAAGAAATATTATCGTTACAATTTCAAAGTACATTATTAAATTCAATTTATTAACTGTTTACCTCCTATCTAAAATTTCCCTCTGGTGTTCCTGTTTTTCGATTTATCAAGGAACAGGTCGAAATTTATAGATATCTAGATCTATCATTACAAAGGAAAGACCAGACAGTAGGGAGAAATCGACACGTGAAAAATGTTATCGGTGTTTCACCGAGTGAAGAAAAACGAAGGCGTGTGTATTGAAAAATTATTGAATTTTCCGTCCGGTTTTTCGCGAGAGGAGAAAAGAGTTTTAACAGACATTTTCTTGGCAGGGCAGTCTGTTCAGTTGGCGAGACGAACAGTACCCAGGATACGACGCCGGGCCTCAGTGAGTTTGGAAAGGTGAGTTGACAAACATTATCAACGAGATAATATAATATTTTTCATATTTTATTTTAATTTAATTAATTGTTTGTTCTAAAAATTATTTCAATGGAAATTTTTAATTTCGAAAATAATTTTTCATTTCTTTCGTTCAAATAAAATAACAATCTCTAAAATAATTTCTTGGATTAATACAATACACTGATATATTTATAATTAACACGTAATGAATTAAAAATAATATCAACAAAAATGTTGGACGTATATCAGAATTTCGTATGAAATATCATAAGATTAATAAGCTTTCGTTCCGTTTATATTCCGTTTATAATGTTTCACTTGAATATTTTCTGCAGTTTGTTGAAAATAAACGGGCAAGATATCGAAGAACGATCGGTCGATCGATAATCGATAAACGATATATTTTTATATGCAACGTGCTACTCCCACGGTGATAAATAATAATCAATGAAAAGCGATCAATGACGATGCGCGCTCTATTTATGCCACGATTCTTCATTCTTCTCCCAACTTATGAGCGCGTGACCCATTTTAATGGAATCTCATCGCAAACTTTCACACCGGTAAAATGGAATCGAACAGGATTTTCCACCCGAATTTCTAGCACACGAATCCCAATATATCGATAAAAGGGAAAGAAATGGAACCAGAGAGAGAGAGAGAGAGAGAGAAAGAGAGAAAGAAAAATCAGAAAAGAAATATATAAGAAAGAAATGGAAATAGATAAAGTAATGGAACTTTTGAGGGGAACTTATTCTTGTTTTGTTATTAAAAAATTCAAAAAAGTTTGCAGAATGCATACATTTATGTTAAAAAGAGAAAACGTGCATTCTTTTTATTAGATTCATTGCGTAGAAAAATTAAAGAATTTATTAAATTGTATTTTAAATTGTATATTCAAAGATCTTCTATAAAAAAAATTTATTTCAACGAATTTTTATATTATATATTTTAATAAACATTTCTTTGTCAAGATCAAGATAGAAAATTAATTTGCATAACGGCCACAGTGTGGAATGAATCGCGGCACGCAGGAAATGACAACATCGATTGATATCCACAAATTATATACATGTACGTATACATAAATATCGATTTAACGGAGTCGTTTTCCAGACACGGAGCGGAACGGACGCGTCGCTCTTTGCTCTCTGCGCAAGAACGTTGTATCGTTTAAGTTAAATTAATTAATTTTGTGCAACTATAATTATAAATTAATAAATTATCGCGACGCAATATGTGAAAATGAAAACAACGTTGTGGAAGAACACGAAGGTACTTTAATATTTCAACTTAGATCACATCTTAATAAAAAAAAAAAAACGATAAAGTGAATATACGACATACGCATTCCCCTGTAACTATATTGCTCGCATATATTTTACATATTTCGACATGTAGCATCCGTATATGAATATCGAATGAATTCGATTTCAGATCTCCGACACACAAATCTGGGACTCAATTTTTTCCATCGATCCTGCAAAATTTTCACCCCTCTTTCTCTCTCTCTCTCTTCGTAGTTTCCATGAAGAAAAAAAAAGGAAAATTGTTAAAGAGAAAGAGGAAGAGACGAAGGAAGAAAAAGGAAGAAAAGAGTTGGAAAACGCAAGGGAGGCAAACGAGAACGTAAATCAAATAAGCCATCTCTGCTATCTTCCCCCACCACCCTTTCACCTACCGCTACTCCCACCCCCTCCACCCCTAATCTTCCCCCTTCTTCCGGATAC